GGGGGAGCAGAGGAAAAAAGAACGCTTTAACTTTCAATGCATTCTCAAACCCCCCCCCCCCCGCAGGCTGGCTTGGAGGATGCATGTAAAATTAAAGTTGCTTTCTTTCCACCTCTCCCTCCCTCCCCCCATCTATTTGCTTTTTGTGTTTCTTTCTCTTTTTCTCTCTCTTTCCACCTCTTTCATTCTTTCTACATCTCTTTCTCTCTCTCTCTCTCTCTCTCTTTCTCTCTGACAAATAAATATCATTAGCATACAAATAAATATCACTGGACAAATAAATATCATTATCTGTTTTTACCCTTTTTGTTTTTATTTTGGGCAGTCTCATTTATAATGTTAATAAAAAGCAAATCTGCATATTTTTCAATACAAACGTGTGTGTCATATTTGTTCATGTCTTGCGGCTCTCAAACATCTGACGTTTATTCTGTGTGGCTCTTATGTTAAGCAAGTTTGGCCATTCTTGGCATAGATCATAAGATTCTCGTATCAGTTAACACTGAACAAGTTTATATATTTTTTTTCATGTTTAGTATTTACAGATCTATAGCTGGGGTCTTCAATGTGGTGCCTGTGGGGAAATAAGAACACTACCGAAAAGTTTTTACAATGATAACAATCACAATACTATATATAATTGTAAGTGTTAAGTCCTTCTTCCTCTTACCAATAACCAGGGGTCATTTCCTGCAGGAGCGCACAGGAGCGGAGCTCCGGCAGTAAAGAGCCCAGGGGGTGGGCACATGCAACAAGCCTCGCCCCCTGCTCCCATCAGCTCCAGGCCACAAGGCACAAGAAGCAGCCGGGTAAGTTGCAGAGTCCCCCTCCCCCCGATAGCAATCCAAAACAATCCAGTGGCACCTTTAAGGCCAAGGTTTATTCAGGTACAAGTTCTCCCTCCTCTGTGAGGGCAGATCAGCGCGTCCCATCCCCCCCCATAGCTAGCAATCCAAAAGAGTCCAGTGGTGCCTGAGCAGTTGGTGCTGCCTTCTCACACTTCCGGTGATGTCAGGGTGTGTGACATATGCAAATAAGCTATGCTAATGAGTTATGCTAATGAGCTCCTGCACCTCTTTTTCTACGAAATGACCCCTGCCGATGACCCATATGGTTTGATTCTTTTTTACGGAAAATCCCAAGACCCAGGCGACACACGCTGGAACAGTTCCATTTGTTCCAACTGTTTAGCTAGCGCAGTCCCTTGTTTTCCCGTATCTGGACCCTGGAGAACCACTGCCCTCATTATGCTGCTCTCTACAAAAATAAGGAATCCTTTCATAACTGAAAACTAAAGGTCAGAAAGAAGGCGTCTAGAGCCAGTGCTTTATTTTATTAAAAACATATTTATGCTACCTTTCAACCTGATTTGGGGCCCCAAGGCGGCACACTTTGAAACATGGAAAGTTAAAAAGAACATTGAAAATTATAAAATAATTCAGTACAAACGCATAAACCAACACCACCAGAAGCAGGGAGGAGGGCCAGTAACCGTTTTATCCGGGGTATGCCAAAGGAAACAAGAAAAGTCTTCGCCCACAGGTGGAAAACACCAATAGAGGGATACAGATGAATTTTCCTGAGGAAGGTGTTCCAAAGTTGCCATGACCAAAGACGATCCTGCACTGGCTTTTCCCTCCATTGTTTTAGCAAACCCACATTGGAATAGAAATTCCCCCTGCATTGCATGCTGCTTTCACTTCCTTTGATGATCGGATTTTATGGTACCCTCTACACTGCATGCCGCTTTCACTTCCTTTGATCATAGGCTTTTATGGTACCCTCTGCATTGCATGCTGCTTTCACTTCCTTTGATCATCGGATTTTATGGTACCCTCTACACTGCATGCCGCTTTCACTTTCTTTGGTCATAGGCTTTTATGGTACCCTCTGCATTGCATGCTGCTGTCACTTTCTTTGATCACCAGGTTTTATGGTACCCTCTACAATGCATGCCACTTTCACTTTCTTTGGTCATAGGCTTTTATGGTACCCTCTGCATTGCATGCTGCTGTCACTTTCTTTGATCATCGGGTTTTATGGTACCCTCTACACTGCATGCTGCTTTCACTTTCTTTGATCATAGGCTTTTATGGTACCCTCTACACTGCACGCCGCTTTCACTTCCTTTGATCATCGGGTTTTGTGGTACCCTCTACACTGCATGCCGCTTTCACTTTGTTTGATCATAGGGTTTTATCACACCCTCTGCATAGATTTAAGGCCATTTTATGGCCATTCAGGGGTGATTTTGCAGTCAGGACCAGGTTGGCCTCGGATATCTGAATATGGTTTTGAGCTCCACCTTTCCCTCAGTGTTAAGAAAACGTGGAACCAGTGCCAGAAGTAGAACCAGCCCAAGAAAACCTTTTCTCGGGTTGCCATGCGTCTAGCCTCAGACATGCATAGGGGATCTGTGCGCAGACTGAAGTGTTACAGTCCAGGAGAAAAAAGTTTATTTCTTCAGAGAGGACAATGCCTAAAACCACAGTCATGGAGGGAACGGTCATCGAGGAAACAGCCAGCGGTGAAGCTTTTGCAGAATGCAAAGTTCTGAACCTGATCCTGAAATGGCAACAGAATACCAAACATAGACATGTAGGACCCGAGGAAAATAGTCCTCTTCCTCGCCGTGGCTGTTTTCGACTGGTGAAAATGGTATGGGATGGAAGCCTAAAGCTCCTCCTTCTCCCTTGCAGTCTTTGGAGCTGACAGAGAGGTTTTTAAAGGTGCGGCTGAGAGCCAAATTGTGTCACGCATATGGTGCATTTAAGGTCCTGGCTGTCACATACAACAGTGGTGGCGAACCTATGGCACGGGTGCCAGAGGTGGCACTCAGAGCCCTCTCTGTGGGCACGCATGCCATCGCCCCAGCCAGGCCCAGACCATCATTAAAGTGTCGAATTCTCTGCCAAATAATTTTAAGTCAACGAAAGCATTTGGGATTGCTTTCCTCACTTTGTTTGGATCATCTTAAGTTAATGTATGAGTTGTTTTTTCTAAAGTAAAACCTCAGTATTCAGGTTAAATTGCAGTGTTGGCACTTTGCGATCAATAAGTGGGTTTTGGGTCGCAGTTTGGGCGCTCAGTCTCTAACAGAGTCCTCCATGGCCTGACATAACAGAGTCCTCCATGGCCTCGACCCCTCTTATCTGTGGGACCGCTTCGCTCCCTATGCTCCACCACCCCAACTTCGCTCAAGTGAACAGGGGCTTCTGCAGGTGCCAACCTGCAATGGGCAGAATCCACAACCACCTGTACATGTGCTTTCTCCATTGCAGCGCTCCCCTTGTGGGAACGGTTTGCCTGAGGAGGCCAGGAAACCTCCCGCTCTCCTGGCTTTCCGTAAGCTATGCAAAAGTGAACTATTCAAGGGGGCTTTTCTGAGCAGGTAACAGGGTTGCACTGTGGTGGTGGACTCAGGGCTCTTTTTGTAGAAAAAGCCCAGCAGGAACTCATTAGCATAATAGGCCACACCCAACAGCAGAAACTCGTTAGCATATTGGGCCACACCCCTGACAGCACAGCTCATTAGCACATTAGGCAGCACCCCCATGTTGCCAGAAGTGTGCTCATCCAGCCACACCCACCTTTTGCTTCTTATTCTGTTTACCTTGTTTGTTGTCAAAACCCATGGCTTTTTTTGTAGCAGGAACTCCTTTGCATGTTAGGCCACACACCCCTAATGTAGCCAATCCTAATGAGTTTCTGCTGTTAGGTGTGGCCTGTTATGCTAATGAGTTCCTGCTGGGCGTGGCCAACTCAGGAGCCAGCCAGAACTCCATTCCTGTGCGTTCCTGCCCAAAAATAGCCCTGGTGGTGGTGGTGGTGGTGGTGGAAAGTGCCGTGAAGTCACCCAGCTGACCTATGGAGGCCCTGTACAGTTTTAAAGGCAAGAGACGTCTGGAGGTGGTTTTGCCATTGCTGGCTTCCACATCACGGCCCTGCTATTCCTTGGTGGTCTCCCACCCAAGTCCTCACCAGGGCCGACTCTGCTTAGCATCTGAGATTTGACGAGACCATCCAGGTCAGGGGTGCCTTGAAGGTGGAAAGTGCAGTCAAGTTGCAGCCAAGTTAGGGAGACCCTGTAGGGGCTTTCGAGGCAAGAGACGTTCAGGGGTGGTTTGCCATTGCCTGGCTCTGCGTCACGACCCCGGAATTCCTTGTTGGTCTCCCAGCCAGATACTAAACCAGGGCCAACCCTGCTTAGCTTCCAAGATCTG